TAACAGTCATTCAGAAACACCTATTGTCTCCATAACGCACTGCAGCATAGCAACTATTAAAACAGTAGTTCTAAAATCACTACTTGCAGTCAATATACCTGTATTTCCTTGCTTTCATCTCTATATGTACACTAGCAGTAAAAAAATGCCTTCAGCTTTAAAAAAATACATCAATGATTTTTTTTTAATATCCATTTTTCATGTGGTTTTGGTTTGGTTTTTTTTAAGAAATATTTTCTGGCCAACCTGTATTAAACTAGCATTTTTCTGGTTTATGATCAGTGTTGCTACAGGGCATCTCTCATTGTCCACTCCTGGAGACTGTCACATCTATCATAATTCTCAAAATGTAGACAGTTTGACTAAAGACTTGTTTAACTTTAAGCTAGAAAATACTTATGGAATGCAGTGTTCTAAGTGTAAAGTGGGTGCTTACAATTTTTCTGGATCATGCCTATAATTCATGATCTCTTTTAAAAAAATTAAATAATTAAATAGCTTCTAATTAAATGGGATTGTATGGAAACTTAGAGTTTGTACTAACTTTTCCTCTGCAAGGAATTCATGTAGGCTGTTAATGCTGTCAAAGTTGTTCATTATGGGAAGAGGAAAAAACATGACTTCTTTTTTTTGCCTAATGAGCTAAAAAGATAAAAAACAGCTGTAACATTGACAGGAAGTACCATGCAATGGGAAGGGCTGTAGAGGGAAGCAGCTGCCATGGAAAATGGAACATTCTACGTTACATACATTTCAGAGGGTTACCATTCAGTACTGTGTACTGAACAACTGTAGTGATTGTAGCCTATTGAGGTTTATTTCAGTGGTGCATCCCTAAGTATATTTTCATTTAGAAAGAATTGAGCTTGTGCATTCCAATACCAATTCCCATGAGATGTACATTGTGTCAGTGGAAAAAATTCAGAAATTTTTACTGGAAGCGTGCAGCTGATCTGAAATGTAGACTTACTAAAAGGGCAGTCATGTAGACTTACTCAAAGGGCAGCCACTGAAACCATCTTACTCTGCAGGAAGAAAGAAAAATGAATTTACTATTGTGTTTCCTGTTCCACCAGGCAGTGAGAAAAAGATGGCATGTTATCTACTTCTGATTATAATTATTAATAGAGATCTGCACATCATACAAAAGGAAAATAAGCTAGCTGTTAGACCTTAAGCTTGCTTCAATTCACAAATGAATATTCAGAAACTATGATCATGTGTTGTAATCTCAAAGGCTGATAGTCAAAAATGTGACTGCATTTAATCTATTCATTTATTTCTATTGAGAATACCTAGAAAATATAAATAATACACAAAAAACAACTGCAAAATTTCTGAGAAACCAGTTTTGGTGAATTCCTTGTCCAAAACTAAAATATTGCATGCTATTTTAGTAATAATAATAATAAACCCACATTTTGGGACTATGTGACTTTTTAAAGAGAATTTTTTTAATTTAAAAAAATCCCACAGATTGTAGTATTATTATATTTATTACTGTTGGGAGTTAATTTAAAGAAATGCAAAGCACCACCCCAACAATCTTTTGTAAAAGACCAGGAAGAATAGAGTTTTACATACTGACATAAATACAATCATATTACGTTTCATAATAGTCTTGAAAAATAAAGAAAAAGAAAAATGCTCAAATCAGTCCAGTAGTTTAACTACCTAGGTAGCCTCATCTCCTTGGACGGTAAGATTGACGGAGAGATAGACAACAGGTTAGCAAAGGCATATAGTGCCTTCGGAAAGCTTCATAAAAGTTTGGCGAAATAAACACTTGAAGAAAAGTACAAAGATCAGTGTTTACAGAGCCATAGTGCTGCCTACTCTTCTATATGGATCTACCACCACCACCTGTGTCTCCTAGAACGCTTCCATCAACTCTGCCTCCATACAATCCTAAAATTCACTGGTCAGATTATGTGACCAATACATCTGTTCTAGAACAAGCAGCAGTCCCAAGTATTGAGGCCATGTTACTGAGAACACAGCTGCGTTGGGCAGGGCACATCTCAAGGATGAAGGACCACCGCCTCCCTAAGATCTTGCTTTATGGTGAACTTACCACTGGCTGCCGCAAGAGAGGAGCCCCGAAGAGAAGATACAAGGACTCCCTGAAACAACATCTCAGCCTTGGCCATATTGATCTTCATCACTGGTCTACTCTGGCCTCCGATCGGAAGGCCTGGAGACACACCATCCATAACACTGCTGCTTCCTTTGAGAAAGCACACAGGATCACTCTCGAGGAGAAAAGACAATGCAGAAAGAATCATGTCTTGCAGAACATACCGCCTAAGGAGTCTTTCTGCTGTGCCTTTTGCAACCGGACATGCCTGTCTCGTATCGGCCTTTTTAGCCACCAGCGCGCTTGTAACAAACGTGGGTAAAGCCTTCCCCAAATCTTCGTTCGCAAAGCCCAGCCATGATGATGAGTCTTGAAAAATAAAGAAAAAGGGAAAAATACTGAGATTGTATATGTTTGGTTAATGTGTCAAAAAACTGCAGAAAACTGTTATGAAAAATGAAAAGGGGAGTAAAGATGTTAAATCTAATATACCATCACCTTCCTCCTTAGTTGCTGCTATGCAACATTCTAGGCCTTCAGTGTCATCAAAGTATACTACAAATATATAGACTATTTTTCTGAATGGAAATGTCTTTCATCACTTTTTATTCTGGATCAACAATTATTATTGCTGCTGCATGCTATTATTGCAGGTTCTTTTGATCCTATCCTAGTTGAAAAACTGTTTGTGAGATGCTGCTGCTTTGGATATCACAGCTAGGTCCAAATGGTGAGAACTGTCCTGAAAAAGCAACCAAGGTTGTGGTCACAGATATCTCTAAGGGATTGCTGTTCCAAGGGCAAGAGTTGTGTTTAGTGCATATATTGACATGAACTACATCCCACAAATATTTGATTTCCATCCTGAGATCTTTGGATTTGCTTCAGTCTTGATTCAAGTCCATATATGTGTCCACACTGGCCCTATTTCTTTTATACACTAAATCTTTTCCAGGTAGATGGTGAAAGCAAAGGGGCACAGCCATGCCTTGGACTACCTACAGGCTTGGCTTTGCATAAATCATCTAGGGGACAAGCCTGATGGAATTATGAAAATATTTTGAAGGTATGATGAAGAGCTGTACGTTGTTGTTGCCCCCCTTAAAGTCACTATCAACTTTCTTATCCCAGCCTCTTTTCAGTGTCAAATTTACATTAAACATCCCAATTTATAATTTCTGGTGAGTGAGTTATGGATATCATAACCTAGGATTCTAGTATCCTTTTTCTGTTAAGATACAACCTCTCAGTCACCCTGGCCTTGTCCTTCACAAGAGCTCTTTCTCACCTGAAAAATGAAATTTAGTTTGTCTCAGAGTAAACTGATGGATGACTTTGACTTAGAGCATATCTGTTCTCTAGAAAAGAACACTGTTATAAACAGTAGAAGAAATTTTAGTACATCTACTTGCCACATTAAATAGTTGCATTTGCATATTGCTACTATCATAAGTCATGTTTCCCAGCCTCAGTGATTTTTCCACTTCTTATCTGTGTCTCAAAACTAAAGATGCACAGTAAGCAATTTTCTGTTACAGCCAGTTTAGCAGTTATTATGGCTTTATGTCCTCAGGTAGAAGATTAATCAGCATTCTCACTTCCCTTGAGAAATTTTTGAAGGTTCTAATAGGCTTTACCTACAGTTGAAGACCTGCTTTCCAGTACAATATCTATAGACTCTTTCAGTTCAAAAATTAAACAATATGATCTCATTTATCTATCAAAAGACTTTTCATTGGCTATCATTTCTACAGAAAAGCTTACATGAGAGACAGAGTCTTAAGGCTGATTCCCCTTGTGTCATTTCTTTATGGAAAAGGCAACCCTTAGCACGCTTTCCAAGGCTTTATTGGAGGAGTTTTCTGACTACCGTGCCTCTCCTGAGTATCATGATTCCTCAGTAAATGCAATTCTCTACACACTAGAGTATAAATACTCACTGTCCTTTTGTACTGGTAAACCTCCTTTAGAAGGTTTCTCAGTGTCCTTGTGTCAAGGCTGAAAGATCTCAGGGGATGTCAGTGTCCTCACAAAAAATACCATTCTGGTTAACATAACACACAAATGAATGCTATCAAACTGCTGTCAGAGAATCTACCTTACCTGCAAGGGCTCATTTGGCCATTTTAAGTAGTGATAGTGATAGCGCTATAGGCTATCAGAGTGGCTGGAGAGCAGTCAGGCAGAAAGGGACCTGGGAGTTTGGATTGACAGGAAGCTGAACAGGAGCCAGCAGTGTGCCCAGGTGGCCAAGAAGGCCAATGGTATCCTGGCCTGGATCAGAAACAGTGTGACCAGCAGGACCAGGGAAGTGATTCTTCCCCTATACCCAGCACTGGTGAGGCCTCACCTGGAGTACTGTGTCAGTTCAGGGAGGACACTGAGGTGCTGGAGCAGGTCCAGAGAAGAGCAATGAGGCTGGTGAAGGGATTGGAGCACAAGTCCCATGAGGAAAGACTGAGGGAGCTGGGGTTGTTTAGCCTGGAGAAGAGGAGGCTCAGGGGAGGCCTCATCACTCTCTACAACTACCTGAAAGGCGGTTGGAGCCAGCTGGGGTTGGTCTCTTCTCCCAGGCAACCAGCAGTAGGACAAGAGAGCACGATCTTAAGCTGTGCCAGGGGAGGTTTAGGTTGAATATTGGGAAAAAATTTTTTACAGAGAGAGCAATCAGACATTGGAATGGGCTTCCCGGGGAGGTGGTGAACTCACTGTCCCTAGAGGCTTTTAAAATGAGACTGTTTGTGGTACTTAGTGCCATGGTCTAGTAACCACAGTGGTAGTGGATCAAGGGTTGGACTTGATGATCTCAGAGGTCTTTTCCAACCCGGTTGATTCTATGATTCTGTGATTCTCTGTGGAACATTGGACACTTGACATTTGAAGAGAGGCCATCTGGAGCTCCATTTGTACTTATACTAAGCATTATGCACTTGCTGAAGCATCCAGTGATCAAGCTGCCTTTGGGAGTTATCCTTCAATCTTCGTTTAATTAAGAACTCTAAGGGTCCTTCTCCAGGTAATTGTTAGTTTCTCCTCTACTTGGTCACCCACAGCGTGAATCAACATATAGCCAATTACTTCAGATATTTACAATATTCCCTCCTATCCCTCTCAAAGTCTTACCTAATTTGGTGTATGTTTTAAGGGGAACTGAAAGAAAGGAACAAGCTATGTTCTGTCTTTATTGGCTAACATTCAAGGAGGACAATACTAGGGAGGAGTATACGAACATTATGACTGTCACACAGGTAACACATCTCAATGAAGAAAAGCTACGGGTGTATATATCCAAGCATTCTAGTCACAAGAAAATTGGTATCTTAATTTGGGGGGGGGAATGGGGGGAGGGGAAGTGTCTTCTGAGTGCAGAGAGTTTTTTAAATTCCAGTACAAATATTGAGGTGAATTCCTGCTGACACTGTTTCCCTAAACACATCTTTAGGCAGATTTTTACTTTTATGAATGCTGGTGCAAAGTAGGGTCACAAATATTCTTATAAATTTACAGATAACTAGACCAGTATAGCAAGTATATTTGCTTCACTTTCACATATTTACTTAAAATTATAATATATAATGCTTATTATTCATATGGTACCTGCTTTTAAGATGACAAACTCAACAGCTCAAATAAGCTAAGCAATAAACCTTGAAAAACATGGAACCAATTAAATTCTTTGTAAAGGAGGGCAAAAAAGTGATTGACAGGAAAAAATATAGAAGCACTCTAAATATTTTGTAGGTGTCACATTTGAAATTGTGTGTATATACATAAATTTGCAAATATATTTTTCTTTAGGAATACAGGACAAAGAATTAGAAGCAAGCACCTGGAACAGAGTTTAGTGCCTACAGTCAGTTATGTCATACAGCACAATCTATGTTTCATGGGTTAACTATATTCAGTTTAGCTAGAGTTTTTCCTCTGCTGTTGAGTGCAGGTTTGCTCTACAGGTTCTTCCTTTTTAGACATATAAATCTCCTCACTTCCAGTCAACATTATTTACAGTCAACTTAAATCCATTTGTTGTTGTGACAACTTTGCCCTTGAACCTTAATAGCAATTTTCCCTCCCTGATATTCAAGTTCTTGAGTATTTGCTGAGAACAAGTATATGTTCAGTCAGTCTTAATTTTTGTTGGCTAAAACATCTAAATATTTTAAACGTTCATTATAGAATCAATTTCTAACTTCTTTACTATAGGATCCACCACTAGCTTCTTTATTGTTTAAAAATGAAGACTATCAGCCTACCATCTTAAGTTCACTAAATTCTTTGATCTAATTTCGTATATGCATTCTCATTAACTTTCATACAGTTCCACTTATATTCCACCATACTCAGGATAAAATCTGAGACAAAAGATTCAGTTAATATTTGGTTGTGTCTGGATTACCTTAAATGTAGCCTTGCTCTCAGTGCAAAACTGTTGTGTCCCCATTTTTTCTCTTTTATTCGTGTAGTTATAGAATTCTTTCACATTCATTTCCTCTCATTTTTCCTTTTTGAAATCTAAATCAACACCTTTTTATAAATTGTTCAGAATTGCAAACACAATGTGGATCACAAAGTGAGGTGTAGGTGTCATGTAACCCTGCAAGTCTTAAACACAAATTCTCAATTTTTTTCTGTAGTTATGATTTCTTGAAGCCACTGAGTCACTGCTTATAAACCAATACTATTTGGAAACACTATAGTCTTGCCTACATTAGGTAGATTACATCGACCTCTCCAAATTCATGCTTTTCCATCTTTTTCGCCTAAAGGTCTCAAAGCAGCAAGTAGTCTTAGAAAGTGTTCAAAACAAGCAGCAACTTCTGATTTCCATCCATCAAATCTTGGCTGAAGATGAAGTCTGCTACCGTTCACTTGTGAATGATGTTTAGAGGAATCATACATGAGACTTGTTTTCCAGATTCCACTTTAAGGATTGTCTTTAAAATCTACCTAATGAATAGTTCAAGCAACTTCATCCATTTCAACATAGTGCATAGCTAAAATTATAGGCACTGTCTCTGGAGTCACATCTTTTTTCCTGGAGTAAGTTTTCTATTGACACCATGCATAGAACTTGACTTGTGAACTCTGAGAATTAATTTCTACCTGTATTGTTTGGTTTTGGTTTTTTTTGCTGGTTTGTTTGGGGTTTTGTTTGTTTTGGGTTTTTTTTGATGACTTTTTATTTAAAGTTCAGATTGCCTTAAATAATGAGAGAACTGTGGCATAGGTGGTCAAAATGATCATTTCATAGCGTAACAAGAAGGATATTTGTTGCATACTGTGAGATTTTTTTATAAGACATGTTGTTGTACTGGAATATCATTGTAGGTCTGTGCAAATTAGAAAGAACTAAACCTGGTATCATCTTGTTGACATCACCTGTAGAGAGAAATTCTAGTGTGAACTGAAGAGGATACCAAGATGATTTTTGTCTTAGTGGGAGCTATTTGTTTTTACTTTACAAGAAAGCCTGGGATTTAATAACAAACTTGAAATATAGATGATCATTGGGACAAATAGCCATGAAACAAGAAGAAAAGGATTTGTCAATGTAGGTGTAACCACAATCACTATCCTTCTCTCTCCCTGTGAAAACTGTCTCGAAATCTTATATGCAAACTAGAATAACTAAACAGGAAAACATTCATGCTGTCTCTTTAGTAATATTAAAATCTAACTTTATCTATATCCCAACATGGTCACCTACCTCAGATTCACATATTAAACCAATAAAATCTCTTGTACAATATTTTCTCTGAATAATTCTAGTCAAGGCTAACTATGCTACATCAGGTTTTCCATCTCTACATAATCTTATTTTTTTCCTTAGTACAAGTGTTTTTCCAAACACTTTTTGCTTATTTTAATATTTTTAAATGGCTTATGACCTAATATTACATTCCAGTTATGAAGTTTCTTCTACTACTATAGCATTTATTCTCATGCATTGAAATAAATTTAATAATTTCTCCATTTTGTTATTCCATCAGCTTGTATTAGTTGTTTATTTCAGATTTCAGCCTATGTTCTTGCTGAGTTAGCTGTGCCATGTGTTGTCTGATAGTTAATTGCATGAATATCAAACCTCACTCTCCATACCTGAAAATACTCCTGTACCTTTTACTGTATCCTCAAGTACCTGATTTTCTACATCTCCTATTATAACCAGACATGGAATTTATAGTTGTCTTTATCACTGTTCTCTCTTGTTTCCAATTTTAAAGCTCTTATAAGTCTTGTCATGCTTAATCCCAAAAGACCATGCTCCAAAAATAGCTGAAATATATCTAAGGGGAAAATGTTTCCTTCCATAGATGCTGAGAGAAGTCAAATATCTTCATAATTTCATCACAGCTCCTATTCTCAGGCTACCTGCTGAGCTTTAATGATTTGCTGCACTGTTCAATGTGTTCATGTAAGAGAATAAACATCACTTGTGCCTAAAAATTTTCAAAAGTCGTTTTCAGCCAGATGGCTCAAGGAGAGCAATACCAAATATATCAGATCCAACTTGTGCGTTTCTGCTGGAGAGACAGAACTCCTGTCTGCTTCTTACACTATACCCAGGAAAATTTTTATAATAAAGAAAAACAGCTGATATACAGAGACACAGAACTGTAGTTACTATATAATAGTTAAAAACATGCATAGATATTATTCTAACAATAAATGTTCAACCATATAATTTCACGAAGCTAAACAAAAGCTAGTATGAGTTAGGGAGCTATCACTTGGTTATTAAAATATGTGATTCTGTGGAAATCCTGAAAAAGTAACAAGTCCTGGGGTATTGCACTGTTGATGTAATATAAAGTTTCTGACCCTGTTTTTAGAGACAGTAATGTTGTATTCACAGGAATATGTGCTCTATAAATTGAACACTTTCAGAGTCTTCATTCCTACCTTTTTTTCTGTCACCATTACTCTGATTCTCTAGTTTTCTGCCACCTATTTTTTAATATTATTTCTTGACCAACATTAATATAGAATCCTTTTTTCTTTCTTAGATTATGATGTTTAGCTCCTTTCTTTATCATTGTCTTTCCTCTGCTGATAGGCTCTTCCATTTTTTGCTTTATTCTCCATATTTAATCATAATATATTTAATTACTAATGAATTCTGAGTACTAATTGAAAACATTTATTGCTTAAAAAAATTACAATAAATTATTCTCTCAGACTGCAGTGGATTTTTTTTGTTTAGTGTTGTTGATTTTAATCTATTCCTGTCATGAAAGCATGAATCTAAATTAGTAATAATTGAGTATTAAATTGCTTTTATTATAAATAACAGTTATTAAAATGTACTGAACCATGACATGAATTTTTATTTACAAAAATATAACTACTATGAGGTTTGGGTTTTTTCAAAAGCTGTAAATTTCTGGCACTTCTTTTGTCTTCTTTAATCTCAATTTGCAGATGACGGTAAAGTTTGAAGCACTGGACAAAAATTACTAATAAAAATATTTTTATGTTCCTTGGTCATGGGGAAAAATAAAAAGTATATAAGGGTGTTTACAGAACTGGAATCACTGATTTACTAACACCACACTATCATTCTTGGAAATACTAATCAAAATGCTTCAGCTTTGAAGATTAATGCATAGCTTGGAGCACCACAGCAGTTCAGATAGCAGTTGTTATGAAGCCCTCTTTATTGTGTCAATAGGGCAAAAAGGATTAAAATAATAAAAAAAGAGTGATGATTCTGAATTCTTCCATTCTTCTTATGCTCAGTTAATACAGCTTAGTTACCTTTGAAGTTTTTAATATTCAAAAATCATCCTTAGTTATGCTTTATTATAAACAGGAAGAAAAAAGCTACGAAGGGGACCCTATTAAATATAACCATTATCTAGAGGCAGTTGGAAATAACAGAAAATAATGAGTAAGTCTATATCTTTGACATAGAATTCAAACTAAGAAATATTATTAATGTTTATGTGACTAGCTTTCATATAATGGCATTGCTGCTCCAAGAACTTGTAGCCTATTGCTATAAATAATGAGAGGACATAAAAGAAATGCAGCCAAGTAGCTTGACCAAGGTATTATGTCTTTGGGCTATTTTAACTATTTGAGTTTATTTTGAGGAATGAGGGAAAAAAGGGAATATGGCTGAGAAACAAAAAAGGACTCAGGGTTGTGTATCTGCTGAAAACTTATAAAGAAATTTTATTACTCATGCTGTGAATTAGTCCCTGATCACAGAACTGAGGTTATATAACATTGCTATATATGAGAGTGCCTTTTGATGTTATTTGTTTGCCTATGGAATTTTTTATGGTACTGTCTAACTCAGTATCTGAGTGTTTAAGAGTAAGCAATATGAAACAGAGTTCTATTTGTGCTTCTATTTTATATAGCAAAAACTGAGCAATGAAAAATAATAAAGATACTTTTCATTTTTAAAGTCACTTTCACTGAAAAAATGATTGCCATTTGCTCAGTTTTCAACCATGGTCTTAATGCACTGGCCCTCTAAAACATCAGGTGACAGTAATGTTTATCATGCTCACTCATATTCCCATGTTCCTGGTCTAAGTCTGAATGTGGGATGAGCATATGAGCCTGATGAGGCACAATGGTATTCTAAAATTACATGGTTAATGTGAATGCTGGGAAATGTAAGGGCATAACATGGCCTTTCAGGGCAAATTAAGTTTCTTAGTTTTTAGAGAAGATGTGAAGGAGACAATCTAGAATACTTTAGAATTAATCTTGCCATATGTTCCATCTTCTTTTTTCATTGTATTTTTGTTTCTAATTTCCAAATTTCATAAAATTCATTCAATTTTCACCCACTATTTCCTCCTTGCACTTTTTTTCATCAGTGTTGTTAAAATACATCAGAAATTGGCTAGGTTTTTGGGAATGTTTTCTGCTAAATGAGCATATGCAAAATACCATGAGAACGGGAAACTTATAAAGCTAGGCTTTCTGAGAACACTAAACCAAGCAGATATTTTTAAATGTAAAACCTCAGACCTGCTGGCTAAGACAGAGTGAAATTAGGAAGATTTGTATACAATCTTTACTTTTCCTACTCTGTCTTTTCAAGATGAGTATTTGCTCCATTCTTTTTGTCCTTTACAAGAATACCAGACAACAGATGAGTGTTGCCAGACCTCACCTGAAGTGCGTTCTGAATCTCTGTTCTCCCTATTATTTTAAGCACTTGGCTGGTCAACTCTGCCCTGCTTTTTTACCAGCCTCTGCTTGCCCGTGGTATCTTTTGCTTGTCCCACTCTCTTTTTCTATGCAGGTTAGAAGACCCACCCTGGAAAATTTGGACATTTGCAAGTAAAGAAAAATTTCATCTTTCCAGAAGTTTCTGTCTGACTCAATTTACAGCAACCAGGAAAGACAAATAAGCAGCTTTTTCAGTTTGCTGCACAACAATCCCTTTTTAAAGACATAAAGTAAAGCATGGTAAGCAAACAGAGGCAAAACAAAAAACCAGTCATGGTCATCTTTCATCTGACCTTTATGAAACATTCTTATTTTACTATATTCAGTGAAACAGACAACTTAAAATTTGGCAAAAAGGACAAGGTAATCTAGGGCAACAGACCACTCCAGTGATCACTCTTATCTATCTTTACACAACTTTTCAATAGCACAGATCCTGAAGTATAACCATCTAAGAAAAAGATTGTGCTCTTTCGGATTCACACACCAGAAAAAAAATCAAGATTTTACTCAGGACATACTCTCTTTTTCTCCTGAAAAAGCAATCTTATCAGCATATTCTCAGCTACCCTTTAAGCAGGGCGCAAAGAAGACTGGAAATGGCTTGTTTTTTAATTTTCATTCCTAGGATAAGGTGAAGCAATTGAGTAACACGATACATTGCTGGATTTGCTTTGATCAGTACTGTCTTTCTATACGGTTTAATAGAACCTACTGCAGTTTTCAAATGATAAACATAGTGCCTGAATGATTTGGCTATCAGTAACCATAATTGCACTGCAGATTTTGATTTAACGTTTTTCTACTGAACCCAAACTCTTTTGAATGGTTTATATTTTTTTCTTAACTTGGAATCAAGTATAAGTCATTATTTTAAGGTGTAACTTAGTCTGTGGATGGGCTAGATCATTTCAGCAATAGATGAACCTGAAGTGGAACAGAAACTTGTAGACCACATCACAATTTCAAATATTTATTCCTTAAAGTCTTTTTATGCAGTCATCAAGAGGAGTATGATGGTGGAAGGGGTTTTTCCTGTCACTTGTGGATCTACAGGGTTTTGTTCTTTTCCTTTTTTTACAAGTTTTTTTTTTAACACAATTTTCTTTTTCTTCATTAATTTACATTTCCATGTTACATTCAACTTTTACCATATGCATAATTTTTTACAGGTGTTATATATCTGATCTTTGTTGTCTGTGTGATCTCCAAGACCAATTTTACTGAGGTCAGAAAGTTACAGTCTTTTAGTGACAAGTAGTTACTCCTTTGTGATCATAATTGTAGCCTTGTGGCCTTTATACTTTTCTGTGCTTTAATTTTGAAGAACTCTGTTAACATCTGGTGCTTATGCCTTTGGGAACCTTGTGTTAAGATCTGACAAAAGTACCACTTTTATCTTATCTCAAGTTCCCCTCACAGTTGCTTAACTTACAGTCCAAGTTCCAGGTATCCACTGAGGCATATTGAAGGGATGGGGGGCAGGGAGGCTCTGGTGGTCACATTTGGCATCTGTCCCGTAACTCGGAGTGGTCTTTCTTTGACCAGTGATATGTGTACAAGCAGTTGCTTCTTTACAGGGTTTGCCACAGTTGGAATTTTTATCTGGATGCATTACCCAGGATGTGCCAATCAGATCTTGCTTCTGCCAGGGTTTGAGTTAGAACCATCCTGTCACTCCATTCTGTGCTTATCTCATGGCAGAGTTCTTCTGTGGTAACAGTGTTTGACACAGGCAACAGTGCTCTTTAAGTCCTTATACCTTGTTAAAATTTCATATTTTCCTTTAGCAGCCTGCAAGCCTTTATGTTTGTTTGCTCTTGCTAAGACAACAAATATTTTATTAGCACAGGCTAGTCATGTGTATGTCATTGCCCTGGGGTCTTTGAATAACATGCTCAACAGAAATAATTTACCATTAAGCCCTATATAGACATTATATAGAACTCTTATCACAGCACTGTAACATCTACTGAGAAGAAATTAACTCTACCCTGGCTGAAACCAGGACAACTTGCTACAAGGATCTATCAGTTATGATAACAGCACTGGTATGGTGTCAAACTTGCTCTGCTACAAGCTTTTGTTTGTGGGACTAGACTACATTCCTTCGGTAGAAAGCTGTGATGGAAGGCTTTAGTTTTTCTTTTTTTTTTTTTTTTTTTTTTTTTTTTTTTGCAGGGCAAGGGGATGGCGGGGTGGGAGGAAGGGCTTACATCCTCAATGCCAAAAATAAAGAATATGTGCTTTGGTCAATGGAACTGCTTGGCTTGTAGAGAGAAAGTGTATGCTGTGTGATACTATGTTTATTACTTCATCTAGAACCTTAAAGAAGGACCCTACCTCCAAAATCAAAGTTTAAAGTTTCCCTTCCACAAAAAAAAAAAAAAAAAAAAAAAAAAAAAAAAGGTTTGGTTTCTTCTGCAAAGTATCTATCTTGTATGTAAGTTCACCTCTTCTTCTAAGGGAACCAAAAAAAATGCCAAAAACTTTTCAATATCTAATGCTGTATCTTATTATGCACCAGAATGAAGTGACACTGCCTACAGAGAAAACTGAGATCTTTTGTAAAAGAAAAAAGAAGAAATAAAGAAGTCTGAAAACCTATGTTTTGCCATTTTATTATTGTAGAATGGATCTGTCTCTCCAGCAATTTTTAATGTCATTTCAGCTTTCACCAAGTGCACATTATATTTTATAAGAAAAAATTGCTTGTCATTCATCTCCGAAGTTTTTTTCCTACCTTATCATTTTAGTTTGGATTAAGACTACATTTTTTTGCAGCTCTTATTGTGCTTTGTTTTATTTACAGAGTGGTCTCAGCAAGCATACAAACTAGTTGTTTTTTTTCTTTAGACAACATTAAACTGGATGATACATTTCAGAAGCACACACACCTATTGCTAATGTATTTTCAGTTCATGAATCAGACTAAATTTAAGATGAAGTAAATCCTGATTAAGTATATATACTGTGGTCACCAGGTCCTTAGCACCAGTTTGCTCTACACGTCTGCTGTTACTGGGCCGTGTTAGCTGCTACTGAAGGGCAGCCTGAGGGGTTTGCCCTGAGAAACAAGAGTTTCTGTGAAGTGAGTCTTTCAGCAGTCCTGAGAACCAAGTTTGTTGCTCCTCTTCTACTGCAGACTTCTTACTCATTTATCTTATTCTATAAGTCTCAGTCTAGGAGCTTATCCTATCCAGCCATGGTTAATTACTGTCAGGGAGCTGGCCATGACCACCTCACACCAGCTCCACAGTCAGCAGTCAGGAGTCAACTTATCCAACCTCAGCCTTTTGATGTAAAACATGCTAAAAATAACAGATAGTGAGTAATTAACACAGAAAGATAAGAGGTACTGTCTGTCACAAGTGAAGTACTTGCTGGAAATAAAAATGTGAAGTTTACGATTTGCTTGACTGAAATATTGGAAATGCTACTGTAAGTGACATAATGTGTTTATATGTGCTTTCAATTTAATGCACAACTCATAAACTATCAAATAATTTGTATCAAAACCATGAAAATTGATTCAAGTCTCTTGTGAAGCTTTTTGTGTTTAGCATATTCTTTAATTTCCACCAGTCTGCCTATGCAAGGGGATATGAGCACGGAATGCCTGTAACATCATTTAATTTATTTGATATCTAGAAGTCTCTATCCATACATTCCTTATAATATAAAAATATTTAGAGAAGAAATGGTATCATTACTTGAAAATTAAATTTACTTGCAATATTATGCTATTACCTCCCTAAATACTCTATCAAAACACATTTAGACTTCTCTCACAATGTTCTTATTTTTTGATTCAGATTTGGGCACTGCCTTCTTATACAACAGATGGCTGAATGGTGATTCAGGATGATAATTAGTCTTTTATATTTTCCATCTAACCTTAGGTAGACACATTCCTCTGAGATTACACTATTTGTTTTTAAAGACCAGCAGATACTCTCTGAAAGACTTTTGTAATGAACCCTTTCTAAACAGTAAAATCATGATTAACTCTGGTCTAGTAAACACGTGACACCAGCAAGACAGCAATTAACAGCAATGTGTCATTTTCAAGGAGTGATTTACATGTTTCAACATTCTCTTACTGTGAAGGTTCTTCAAAAAGAAGTAGGAAATACTTGCAAAAGTTCAGGGAAAGCTGCTAATTTGAGGGACCTGTGGAATTTGCTTTGAGAGCTGGTCACTTTTCAAGAGGCAAAGTGGAAGGGAGACAATGTGGTAAAAAGAGAAGTTCTGCATATCATCTCATTTTTTCCCTCCTATTCTGATGAGAAATTCCAGCTTGATTTTGGAGACTCTGTCAGTAAGTCAACTTTCATAACTCATATATTTTTACAGTAAAATTTAGTCTTGATGAATTAACAATGTGTGACTACAACTAATACTCCTTAAAAAAAAAAAGTTGTTGAATGCTGAAATATTAGAATAGTTCTAAAACCAGTTCTAAGAATGTCTATCCAATTCTAGCTATTTAATTAATCAAAGTAGTTTTTGTCTAGGTTGAAGGAGATATGTAATAGTGGTATGTAGATAATTGTTACTCAAGGGCAGAAAAGAAAGTAGACATCTTGATACTTGTATCTTTATTTCAGATATTCATGATTTGCAGCATCGATAAACTCAGATAGGAATTAGAGAATCACTCTGAGAAAGTATAATAGTAATACGTATGTTTTGAGTAGTATGTATGTATGTAATACGTATGTTTTGATCCTTCCATTTCCTACAATGCTAGAAAACATTTCTTGAAGAGAATAGATATTGGGAATCTGGTCTAAAATGCATATTTGAGATGAACTCACATTTGGGTTAAGTATACAGGTCAAATGTTATTTTTTTAAAGAAAATGAGCATAGGGAGAACTGGTTCTGAGAGGTTAAAGAGGCTGAGTTAGAGGGAATGTATAAATTGGAGATTGATGCAGTGCAAAGTGTTATTTGAATCTGCTTTATCCTTTCAGCACTGCAGGGAGAGTCAGATAATTGACAATTTCATGGATGGCTTCCAGTCTTTGTAATTTTAGAAATTTAATGTCATGTTTATTATTTTCTTATTAAATATAAATATTGTTGCTTGTAGCTAAAGTCAGTAAAATACTT